GGGGTAGGGGGCAGAACACGCGTTATGGCACAGAGGCTAAAAAACAACCGCTCTCATCGCCGATGCACGGGCGATGCATCGGTGGTGCATCGGCGACGTCGGCGGTGCATCGGCGAAGTCGGCGTGGAGCAAATCGGGCTTCACACGTAGCGACCCCCCAGATTGTGGTGCCAGACGCACTGTGACGGTGGCGGAGACGCGCTGAGGAGGGGGGGGCTGCGTTTCATTATGGGGGGGAGAGGAGGGGGGTAGGGGGCAGAACACGCGTTATGGCACAGAGGCTAAAAAACAACCACTCTCATCGCCGATGCACGGGCGATGCATCGGTGCTGCACCGGCGACGTCGGCGGTGCAGCGGCGACGTCGGCGTGGAGCACATCGGGCTTCACCTCGAGCCGCATCGGCGCTGCATCGGCGAGGCGGCGCGATCCTCCGACCCCACCTGCGCGGACCTCACAAGAGGTCAACACGGTGCACGAGCGGCCTCTTTGCGCGCGGCCTGCCGGTCGCAGCGTCGCGCGACGCGACCGCAGGCCCAGAGATCCGAGGCTCCGTAAAAGTCGCAGCTGCCTGCTGCCCCCCCCCCCAAGAGGGCCCGTTCGGCCAGGCAGAGTACAGTCATCGGCCTGACCCAAGGAACGGTAAATAAGGAACGGAGCCCCTTTTTTACCCCAAGGAATAACGCATAAGGAACGATAAATAATAAATAACGCATAAGGAACTGTAAAAAACGCATGCAATCCTAAGGAACGACCGAGCCCCTTTTGAAAAGTAAGTGTTCCTTATTCAAGCCGCTCACTGTAGGGAGCTCGGCACGGCAACGAGGGACAACGAATGTCGCGGCGCCGCATCCGTGGCGAGCCCTCAACGCGCCCGGGACCGTCAGCAGAGGACTCGGCATGCAAAGCGGGCCCGGGGGGAGATGTCCAGACCCCTATGAGGGCCCCCGCATCGACACAAGTGGAGCGCCGAGCGCCAGATGTCTGGCACAGCGGCCTGCGGCGTGCTCGGGCTTCGAGCCCCCCCCCCCCCGGGCGGCCCCCCCTAACGAGGAGCCGCGCACCAGAGGTCACTCCGGCGAGGGGCCACGCTTCCGCAGATGGCCCAGCTCGCGGGGCAAACCAACTGCATGAGCATAGCCTTTCGGAGGCCAGCGAGGATGTTTTCTCGGATCGGCGTTGGACGGCCCCTCCCTGGCGCGCGGAGCGCGCAAGGAGCGGCGCTGGAGGCGCCGCCAGAGGGGTCACGGCCCCGATCCGAGAAACCCGCGCGGACCCCGAAAGTCTGTGATTATTCAGCTTTCCCCGGAGAGGTTCAGGGCCTCGTGGACGGACTCTGATACACGAGGATGTTGGCGCGTGTCGAAGTATTCTCCATTCTTCGTTCTCTCCAGCTGGAACTGCCAAGGCTCTTGTGTTTCCAGATGGAAGCTGCGCCAGCTGCCCCGATGATGCAACAATGCCAGCTTTCCGGCTGATGAGCAGGGGACCCTGCCGAGCCTAAACGTGCCGAAGCCCGACTGTCTCAGGTCCTGGTTTGCAATGTCCTTGCTTCGGCACCGACGTCATGATCTGTGCCGCAGGGGTCTCGACCCATCCCCTGGGACCCGCCCTCATCTGGAGTCGTTTTGTTGACGGTCCCGAGGCCAGGTCAGGGCCCCCAGAGGCTGAAAATCGCAGACGCCGTTCGTCACGAGTCTCTCATGACTCGAGGCGGCCTGGGTAGCGTTTTATCTGGAGTCGTTTTTGACGGTCCCGAGGCCCGGTCAGGGCCGCCAGAGGCTGAAAGTTGCAGAAACCGCTCGTCTGGAGTTTCCCCACGACTCGAGGCGGCCTGGGCAGGCTCGGCCACGCGCAGGAGAGCGACCTCGGGCAAGAGTGACCCGTATTGGTGCGCGGCCTTCCGGGAGCCGCAGGGGAGCCACAAGAAAGCGCGCAAGACGCTGCTGTCGCATGGGGTTGGCGATCGGGGGACCCCCCCAAAGGCCACTCCTTTTCACGTCCAGTGCACAGACGGGGGAGCGATCGAGCGAGAGCGCCCGGGCCTCGTGCTGAGCCCCGGCAGGCCCATCGCCCGCTCCAGCCCGGCCATCGGCCCCGCCCCCCCACCCTGCCACCCCCCGCCGCCGCCGCGGCGGGGCGCGCCCGCAGGGCTGCCCCGGGGAGGGAGGGGGGGCGGGGGAGGGCGCGGCGGGGCGCGCCCGCAGGGCTCCCCTGGGATGGGGGGGGAGGAGGCGGGCTCGGACGGGGGGGGGGGCCGGGGGAGCAAGGGCCCGGCCCGCTGGAGCCACGGGGAGGGGAGCGAGGGAGGGGGGGGGGGAAGGCGGGAGGGGGGGGGGGGGGGAGGAAGGAGGGAGAGCGAGGCGGCGAGGGAGGGAGAGGGAGGGGGCGAGGGAGGGCAAGGAGGGAGCGGGCGGGGGAGGAGGCAGGCGTGCAGGAGGAGGGAGGAAGGAGGGAGGGGGAAGGGGGAGAGGGGGCGGATGGAGCAGGGGGATGCCCGTCCAAACAGCGGCTGGGATCCCTCCCCTCGCCTTTTACACCATGCCCCCTCCTCCTCCTCCTCCTCCTCTCCTCCTCTCCTCCTCCTCTCCTCCTCCTCCTCCTCCCTTTCCACTCCTCTCCTCTCCTCTCCTCCTCCTCCTCCTCCTCCTCCTCCTCCTCCGCCTCTTCCTCCTCCACCTCTACTTCTCCTCCCTTTCCAATCGCCATCCCCTCTCCTTCCAACCTCCAGTCCCAGCGCATCTCGTGCGATCGGCGCACTCGGTTCCCCCGCTTCCTCCCCACTCTCTCCTGACCACCCTGTGCCTCCATCGCCCCCCCCCTTTACCCCCTAGCTCCACGCCAATTCCCCACCCCTGCCTCCTTGAGAGCGAGTCGGCTGTTCGCTCCAGGTTGACGGCAGCGGGATGCGCTTCGATCGATCAGGATCCTAGGTCGCCAGACTTCGCGTCTCGCGCCGCGGGAAGCGCGGCGCTCGGATGCTTTGCGCACTCCATCCCCTGTCCGAGGCCCGGTCTGACGAAGATCCACCGGCTGGAGTGCACTGGTGTCCCAGGACCGCCGAAGGTGGCGGATATGAAAATCCACGGGGGGCCCACGGATACCCATCGAATCGAATCGGGGGAATCGAAACGAGCCCTGCCACCACGGGTCCTCTCCAGGCGGTGGACGTGCGCAAGCTCCAGCCTCTTGACCCAGGCCGCGAGGCGCGAAGCCTGGAAAACCTGCGCGCCCCGGGAGGGTGACCTGGCACCCGGCGCTCGTGCCGCTGCCCCTGGCCTCGGGACGCTCACAGCTGAGGCCCTCCTCCCCCTCCTCTTCCTCCTCCTTCCCCTCCTCCTCCTCCTCCTCCTCCTCCTCCTTCCTCCTCCTCCTCCTCCTCCTCCACCTGCCCCCTCCTCCTCCTCCTCCTCCTCCTCCTCCTCCTCCTCCTCCCTCCTCCTCCTCCTCCTCCTCCTCCTCCTCCGAAGGGTCCGCGCTCAAGCACGCGAAAAGGACCCCATAGGTTTGCACTCGGGCCCCCCCGCTCCCCCCTCCCACCCCCTCGCCTGGACGCCCGTCTGCCTCGGCCACCTCCTGCCGGGCAGCCCGCCACTGCCGCCCAGCTGCTTTCCAGCTCGCCATCCTCGCTGCCCCCTTCTTCCCCCGCCTCCAGCCTGGCCTCACACCTCTTATTCAGCCTCGCTCCCGGAGAGGGCGGCAGTGGTGGAGCCGAGCGGGCTCCTCGTCGTCGCGACGAGGAGAACATGCTGACTATGGCAGGGCGTTCTGATCTGGACGGACCGCCCAAACGAGCTCTTCCTACAGGATCGCAGGGTCCGAAGCGTCTCCGCGCCCACACCGATGTGGAGGCAGCAGGGGCGCTGGCGAGGGTGACGGGGCGGCAACGTTTGCAGAGGGTGTGGGCCGCTCCGTCGTGTGTCAAAGGACCGCTGTGCAGCCCCGGGGAGGCTGGCAGAACGGCCCCTTGCCGCCGCTCAGCGCCCCTCTTGTGCCGGGGGGTGAAGAACCGCCCTCATGAATATGAACCCATCCTCCTCCTCATGCCATCATCTGACCCCTCCCCCATCATCATCATCATCATCATCATCATCATCATCATCATCATCATCATCATCATCATCATCATCATCATCATCATCATCATCATCATCATCATCATCATCATCATCAATCATCATCAGCATCAGCATCAGCATCATCATCATCATCACCATCATCATCAGCAGCAGCATCACCATCATCAGCATCATCATCACCAGCATCATCATCACCATCATCAGCATCAACATCAGCATGATCATCATCATAATCATCGTCAACATCAGTATCAGCATCGGCATCGCCATCATAATCATCATCATCAACCTCGACATCATCATCAGCAGCATCAGCATCACCATCATCGTCATGATCATCATCATCATCACCAACCTCGTCATCAGCATCATCATCGTCGTCAGTATCCTCATTGCCATCATAATCATCAGCATTGTGTTTATCATCGACATCACCACCATCCTCACCAGCGTCAACATCATCACCAACATCATCGTCATCATCAGCATCCTACTCAGCAGCACAAGCATCATCATCACTAGGATCATCAAAACACATCATCATCATCAACAGCAGCAGCATCATCACTACCATCATCACTGCCATTGTGATCGTCATCATCAACAGCAGCATCATGCACAGCATCATCATTGTCAGCATCAGCATCATCACCAACATCATGACCAGCATCATAATCATCAGCATCACCATCATCATCAGCAGCATCATCAGCATCTGCATCAACATCATCACCATCAAGATGCATCGTACCTCATCCTCCTCGATTTTCTCTTCCTCCCCCTCCTCCTCCTCCGCCTCCTCCTCCTCCTCCTCCTCCTACCTATCCCTCCCCCTCCTCGTTTGTCCTTAATGAGTCGCCCGCAATCCGTCTCCCTCATCTTGCCGCGCCGTGTTCCCTGCTTCCTTTCGCTCTCCTTCGATCTGGCGTTCGTGCTTTGCCAAGGTCTGGCTCTAAGCGGGGGCCAACAAAAGCTGGAGCCTTCTTGCGTACGGTAGAGGGCAGCACGCGCAAGAGGGGCATCGGGGGAGCAAACCACAGAGAGACAAAGGAGGACGAGAAGGGCAGCTACGCAGCGGCGAGTCCTTCGTGATGGTGCCCGTCTTGTCAAGCACCATCACGTGCACTTTGCCTGCGCTGCAGCAAGTCGCCCAGGCTTCAAGCCCCTCCTCCTTCTCCTCCTCGCCCGCCACATCCTTCTCATCCTTCTGATCCTCCTTCATCCTCCCCCTTGTCCTCCTCTCTATCCTCCTCCTCGTCGTTGCCCACCTTACCTTTCTCCTCCACGTTTCCGAAATGGTCTTCCTCCTCCTCCTCCTCCTCCTCCGCCTCCTCCCTCCCGTCCTCCCTCCAAATGCGACCTGCCCTACAATACCCGCGTAGAATTGATGTGAGGTCCTTGAGCCCAGATGCCCAGTCGTGCAGCAGGCTCACCTTGGGCGAAGCAACCCCCGCACAGGCTGAACCTCCGAGATTGCCTCTGAATTGACATCCTGCCCTCCTCCCGACCAGGCCAGCCGTCCTCGTGTTTTTTTTCCGAGTTTGGAGGCGAGCGAGGAGGGAAGTGAGAAAGGGCGGGCCTTCTGAGAGAACTCGGAAGTCTCCCGGCCTTCTGAAAAGTTTTCGAAGCCCTCCCTGAAGACGCAAGCAACTTCCTCTGAAGGCCCAAGGGTTTCTGAGAAGCCCCGCCGCCTTCTGAGGAGGCCCTCTCCTTCTCACTTCTCCCCCTCGCTCGCCGCCGACAAATGGCTGGAATGACAACCTCCATGACTTCGAAACGAACGGCTTCATCCGGCGACCCTCGCCCCCACCGACATGTCACGCAATCTATGCACGCAGCCGCCTGTCAACCATTCCAGCACTTGTAATATCCGACACGGTGCCCCCTGGCACGTGGAGGCGTGGTAGACTGTGAGCGTTTTCTTATTCGACGTTTCGGCATTGGGCGGAAGGGGGGTTGGCCTGGCTCCAAACCTCTGCCTAGCGCGACTGCTTACAGCAGTGCGTCCCATGGGGGGGACTCTTCCCGCTCGACACCGGCGCCAAAAACATCCAAGATCAACTCGGGGGGGGGGCTAGGGCCCGCGCCTATCGGCAAAACAATGAATAAGAAAACGATCACAATGCCAAGCGCTGTCTGGTAGGGTTTTTGGTTGCGAAGCATAGGTTGCGAAGCATCGGTTTTCCTTTGCGAATTGGTGGGGTTCTCGTTTTCCTTCGGGGGTGTGCCCTTTTTACCCTGCACCATCGCTCATGCGAAATACGAACCATCGCAACCCAGCCAAACCGAGCTCGACACCCTTGCGCATCCTCGTTGGCAAATAGTAATATGCGCGCGATATTTTGTATCAACAACCATCTATTAGCAATAATCCGCTGCTTCAATAAATCCACACGTGGAGACTATCATCGCCATCGGCGTGATCACCATGGGTGCCGCCATTGGCTTTGCAGCCGTCATCGCCATCATCGCCACCAACATCGCTGCTATCATCATCGTTTTTGCTGTTATCGACGTCGCCATGATACCACACCCGCCCGAATCACAGATTCACACTGAAGTGCCCGCGCGTCAGCCCTGCATGCGAGACGCGCAAAAAAAACCCTGAAAACCCCCAGCGGTGACCGCCATCGCGGCGCGTCGGTCGCGGCGCGCGAACCTGCGCGCGCTACCGCGGTCGCAGCAATGCGCCCATCAGCGCCAAGCAGTCATCGCAGTCGCCGCCACATGGGTTTTGAAACCAAGTTGCGGGTGGGTGGGTGAGACGATTGCGCGAACAGAGGACATGACAGCCCACTTCGAACAGCAACGCATTGCACGACATAGAATCTCCTTACTTCAAACAAAAAAAGCTTATACCACCATCCACCCCGGACTGAGCCCTTGTTGGATTCGCTTGCAATTTCAAATATGATCCCGACCCCTCGTCCATCCTAACTACGTACTCGTGCCATTCCAGCCGAAACGGTATTTACTCCCCCACCCCGCCATCCTCTGCAACAAATATTATGCGCGCTCTCGCTTATCATAAATCACCAGTTCCCCCAACCCCCTGGCAAAACACGGGGCGAAGTGCACATGGGCGCGTCAGCGCGAGCGCGTGCCAAAACCCGTGGAAAAAAACAAACACCAGCTTCGCAAGGATTTCCACATGAAACGTCACGGTTGCACCTAAAAACATGGTTTTGCAACCCGAACGCTCACACAAAAACTGTGTGTGTTCCCGAGCTCTTGCGAATTCTCAAGAGAACCATTGGGTTTTTACCATTGGGTTTCAACCGTTTCATTACTTGTCCAGATTCGCCTCTCGCGTGCGCGGGTCAAAATCGTTCGAACGCCCTTACGCGCGTGCGGTCGCAAGAGCCCCCTGCAACAAAAAAGCGAAGTGCATGCGCGCGCGTGGTCGTGCGCGCATGCCGGAATGCTAGGAAACAAACCTTGGGTCCCGCAGGGATGTCAAAATCGAACGCCCCGAAAACATGTCAAGACACTCGGTTTTGCAACATCAGTTTCCCCTCAAAAAAAAACTCTTGCGCTCGCGCTCTTGCGGAGTCTTAATGAAGCCATCAAACTTTATACATTGCCATCACATTCTGCCGAGTGGGCTTTTCGCGCCGCATGTCGAACTCATTCGAACACCCTTGCGCGCGTGCGGGGGGGGGGGGCACGATCCGTGCCAAATTGCACCGAAGGGGCAAATCGCGCGCGTCGGCCGCGCGCGCATGGCGAACTTGAGCAAGCATCTGCATCGTCGACGCGAGGACATCCTCATTATTATAGGCGGGCGTGATCAACATCGGCGACGTCATACGCCTTGCCGTTGTCATCGCCACCTCCGTAATCGTGTCTGTCTTGTGTCGGCGTCGCCATGATACCGCGCCCGCCCCAGTCACCGACTCGCAATGAACTGCCCGCTGGGAAGTGCCCGACAGTCAACGACACCGCGGCCGCGCCGGTCGCGCCAACCTTGCTGGCCGCTGTGCGCGCGAGCATGCGCGGGCTAGCGCGGCCGCAGAGATGCATCAGCCAACGCCAAGCATGCATCACAATCGCCGCCGCATGGGTTTTGCAAACCAAGTTACGGGTGGTTGGGTGGGATGTTTGCAAGTGCGTGGAATTCCACAACAAAGGCTCCACAACATAAATTGGACCGAACGGTTTGGTAGAATCACGCTCGTTGGGGTCCACGCGGGCTGTATATCCACACGACGTTGCAGCCATACCTCTGAATTCCTATGCTGATGCATGTAACAGGTCATACGGTGTTCATGAACTTCAGGGGGGGTGCAATCTCCCCCAGCATATATCGATGTATACATTTATACAAATGAAAGTGATGCTACAAAAAGAAGCACCCCCGCGAGAACATCCGAAACATTCATGCGTATACACAACACAATGGAATTCGTTGAAGCAACACAGAACGGCTTCCGGCATCCTTATCAGATACTCCTTTCGCCGCAATAAGCGTAGCCCTCGCAAGCAAAAACATGTCTCAACCAAGTGGCACGCCGATCGAAATAGTGAGCGCCACCACGCGTTCCAACGACAGCATGGAACGTACCGGCAAATCGACCATACACGAACAAAGCATCATATCACGATCTAACAAGAAAACAACATGGACAGAGTATGACGTCGAATATACAATTGGGGCATCACCATCAGAATGGCAACCATCGTTGGTGCAAAAGCCATGCGTAGCAAAGCAAAGTCGATACCCAAATCCTCGATGATGCGATTCCATCCCGCGACCGCTGGCCCGACGAGGCTCCGAAAATCGACGCTTCGACTGCACGAGGCCGATGTGGTGCCGCCTACGCCATAGAACGCCCACGAGTCTAACAAAACACGCCAAATTAACAAACAAACGAACAATGCCGCACGTGCGTCGCCTGAACATGCGAACACGAAGGCGCGGCCCCTCCCGGCAGCACTGCCTCGCCTTCCTCGGCCAGTCCAATGTCCAAGACGGCAGTACAACACGGCCCTCCCGCCCCGCGGCCCCGAAGATCCTGGCGCTGCCACTTGTTCTCGACGGGCGCTGTCGCCCGGTGTCGGGCCCCAGGACCCTCACGGTTCGCTCCGGCGCGAGACATGGCGCAGAGAGCTGGGGTCGAGGGCTCCAGGCGCGATTGCTCTACGACGCTGCACGTAAGAGTGACCCTGGGTAAGAGTGACCTTTGGTGCGCGGCTTTTGGGGTGCCACGGGGGGGGCCAAACGCGAGCGCGCAAGACGTCACTGCCGCCTCGCGCTCGGCGATCGAGGACCCCAAAGTGACCCGCACCAAAGGTCACTCCGGCGGAAGGTCACTCTTGCGTGTGGTCGATTCACGACGCTGCAACTTCTCCGCTGCGTCGGATCGCCAGGCTCCCCTCCCGCGCGGCTGCGAGCAGCAGCCGGCCCCGGCCTGCGATGGGTATCCGCGGCGGGCTGAGGCAGGCCACGCCGCAGTCGGCCCGCAGCCGCGCCGAGGAGACGCTGTGGGCCAGCGTGAAGGACACCTCGCGGGGCCCCCGGAGAGCGGGGGCGAGGAGGAGGCCCTGCCGCCTCGCGCCGACGTGCAGCCGGCCGGTGTCAGAAGGCTGCGCGATGAGGATTACGGTGTGGGCCTTGGATAAGGATCCCCGAGATAAGTTGGTGGTCTCCAAACCAGGTGGTGAGACACCCGGTGGTGACCCCGATTCCCCCCAAAAATAATTCTGGGTCACCACCGGGTTTGGGGACACGCGGTCGCCACGAGGTTTTGCGTTTCCTGGGCCAGCCAGCGCTCGAAAACCATTACCCAAATCGCCCAAAACTCACCACCGGGTGTTCTCACCACCACGTTTGGGGACCACCAGATAAAGGGGTCCAGGGTCTGGAAGCCAGTGGAACTCCAATCGTGGCTCGGCCATGGATATCACCGCCGCCCTCAGTGGATAAGGAATCCTGGGGCTGTTCCTTAACAAACGTCTCCACTGCATGTTGCCCCCATCGTCCTTGAGGACCACATCCCAGAAATGATCTCGAACACCCAGAAGAATATCGAGCCAGGGCCGAACGAATATCGCCTCCTAGTGCCCGACACGTGAAAACCTTCCAGTTTTGGTACTTCCTTGGTGCTCGGAATTCTTTCTGGCGATCGGGGCTGAAGTAGGTTGGAATACCATGAGATAAGCATGCAAGGGCCTTTGAAGGTCGTGTCGAAGTTGCTCGAGCGAGGCGCCACCAGCGAAAGCGGCCAAGGACGGGTCGAGGAGGCAAGGATGCAAGGGTACCCTCGGGAAGGTTGCCCGTCCCACGCTTACCGCAATCCGTCGAGCTGTGTCTGCCTAAAACTAGGAGAGGGAAGAGGAGGAGTAGGAGGAGGAGGAAGAGGAGAAGGAGAAGGATGAGGAGGAGGAGGAGAAGGAGGAGGAGGAGGATGAGGAGGAGGTGGCGGTGGAAACCAAGCCCATCCTCAAGCACTCATCGGGAGAGTGATAGAAAGAGAAAAAGAGAAAGAGAGAGATAGAGAGAGAAACAAAAAAAGAGAGAGCAAGAGCAATAGCAAGAGCAAGAGCGAGCGAGAGCGAGGGAGAAAGAGATCAGTCGCGCGGGGTGATCTGGGGCACTGCTCTACCCCTGCCCGGGCTCCTCTGCTTCGCCTGCGAGGCGGACCCGGCTGGGCCATCGCGCGGCCCCAGGGGTACCCCGGAGGGGGCCTGCCTGGGGACAGCCCCGGGGAGGAGGGCTCGAAGTATGTGCACCGAGTCGTCCAAGTCGGCCAGGCGGCGCGGCGCAGAGAGGCGCCGCAGCAGCTGCCCCCCCTGCGGGGCGCTGGGGCGCGCTCGTGCACACGATGCCCTCGCCGAGCGCACTTGTCGGGTCGGGCGAAAGAGGGGGATAGCAAAGGGGGGGGGTTCAGAATCAGCTCACGTAGCTGATTTTCCTGGCGCCTCCCGGCGCCGGAGGCGACTATGTATCGAGGAATGGGCCCCTCGGTGGGGCCGAAACCAGCTGCATGCAGCAAATTTTGTAACCCCCCCTTTCCCAATCCCCCCCTTTCGTCTGGCCCGAACTTGTCAGCGATGCCGAGAGATTATCGGGGCCGAGGGGAGCGCCCGAGGGGAGGATGTTCATACCGCCAGGCTGCCCCAGACACTCCTTCCTAGCGTACGGGGTATGGCATGATCTCGAAGGACAGCACTGGCTCCTGGACCGGCCAAGCGACGTGGTGCACGCGGCAAGCCCCATCCGAAGCCCAGGGGGGGGCCACGGGCGGTGGGGGGTGCGGGGGTCTCAGTCTCCAGACTCGGGGGTGGGTGCGGGCGGGCCGCCTCTGGGGCGGAGCCCGGGGGGGGGGGGGGGGCAAGGCGAAACGTCAGCTCTTTCGCTGCGCACCCGGAGCTGCCGCGCGGGCTCTACGGCCGACGGGGCCTGCGTCGGGCGTCGGGCGAGCATGGCATATTTGTTCTGTGATCTGGGTGCGGGAGCAGAGGTGGCTGAGTCGAGTGCAAGCTCGGTGGCGCCCGCGTCGAGCTGCGAGGCTGGAACCTTGGCGCCTGCGTCGGGCCTCTTCTCTACTGGGCTGGGA